TTTCAGCGGTAGTCCAATCTGAGTATCAACTTACGTGGTATTATTGAAGGCGCGTTTCTGCTTGCACAAAGCGTTCGATGCGCTAACCCACATGAGGCGATGGTGGTCAAATTGGCTGTTGTCCCCGAGACGGTATCCTTTCATTTTCTCCCCACTCCGCCCCCAACTTGATGCTTTCTGTATGGAAATTTGCCCAAATTCGCAATACACTGGTATACGTGAAGAAAATGGAGACGAAGTAACCATTAATTAAAAGTAGAGAATCCTAATTACTAAATGTCCTTAATAACTCGAAGACAAAACAACACTATTCCGAGTTCAACATGGCTGAGTCGCTCGTCGTTCGGTGAATGCTTACATTTCATGAGAGGTCCCAAAATTGGCGGCCACTCAGGATACGTTCCATTCGTCTTAAGATTATTAACATTGGTCTCGATTCTTGAAATTTAATAGCATATCTTTAACAGCGACCACGCATACACAACACTAAATTTAATGCATGTGAGAATTGGTCGCATATAAAGCGAAAGAGGCGTGAGCTGAAAAGCTAGGAAGCACTGGACAGCTGTTTCGACCTGGTTGAGTCTCATCAGCACGGTACGCAAATCCATCGATCTAACTGGGGATCGAATCCGGGACCTCACAAGCAAGACGCAAACATGTTACCCACTGGGCCACGGCTAGCTGAGAAAACCATTTTTCATCTTCATTTACATGCTAGAGCCCGACCCATCTTTGCGAGCTTCTTGTGGGCCACGGACCTCACTCATCTCAGCACTAGCCTTCGAGGTTATGACTCGGTTGAAAACATACACAACCTAACTACTTATTGCATGTGAGTAACGGAGGATTTGATTCAATTTCATAAAATGAAGTCGTCTTGTACAGTGCTTCCTAGTTTCTCGTTTCTCGCTTGATTTGCTCCATACACGACGAATTCCTCCTATAAAACTAAATTTAGTGAAAATCATACTGTCATCCGACCATCGATCAAAAAGGGAAATCAATAACCGCCAGCCATTCTTGAATAGTTCTCTCACTTGGCATCCGGATGATTGGAATTAAGGAAACCTGTATAAAAATTCTGATAGAAGTGAAAAATAGAGATAATGTCATGGTTTTTGTATCCCTTTTGTCCAGACGTAACTTAGTCCGTTCAGAATGAAAAAGATTTATTCTTAGGACGCTGTCGAACAGGAGTTGATTTTCGCAAAACCAACTGAGTAGGCGATGATTATGCGAATAAGTTTATTGATCACAGTTGAAGGGAGAAAACAATACGGCTCTGTTCTCCTTGAGTTTCTAGTTAAAGAAGATGTTACTAGAAAAAGAATTCCCGTATGCTTGTTGTCACATCAACCCTCCGAAGAGCCGCTATAGTTTGTAGATGCAATCCGTCATCAGATATCATAGTGAGAAGAGACTGATATTGGTATCCTCATTGAGTTCCGGTACAATTGCGTAGCTAATCGGAGAAGTGAAATGCATCAAAGAGCACCAGTCAAAATGGGATAGTGGTGTCGATCCAAGTTCCGTGTGTTAGCCACCTGGTTGAGAAGACATACTTGATTTAGCTTTTGCAGTACTCGATTCTCGGATCCCAGTAACAATCGATTACATTAAAGAATGAAACTTGGTTAGTTTCACTCATTTGCTGAAAATCCGATATGAATGTTTGATGCAACTTGGTCTAGGCAATGCGTGTATCATCGATACAGAGCGACTCAGTCACGCAAAAGCTTAAAAACGACAGTAGTCAAGTACTATTAGCATCATAAGGCGACTATAGGATCTGTGTTCTCCTAATTGCCCATTATTATTACTATTATTAATATTGTTATTATTATTATTATTATTACTTCATCTACACTTCAACGCATCTCGCTATCATGCGTGGATAGACGAACCTGTGTTGATCGTGCAACGAATATGCACACGCCACGGTATCGCTTCCAGGTAGCCAATCAGGAAACAGATTTCCCGACCAGTCTCAAGTGGCACCAATCTGGTTGGTTTAATGCAAATGAACCAAATTATTGTCGATTGGCCATTAAAGAATCAACTAATCAATACCGGATGCGTGTGATATTGTGATTTACATGATTTTCCGAATAGAATTTACTCTGCCCACACAACTCGTCTTGGCTCTACCTGACTTTGCGCTATTCAGTAGGTTTTCAGTTCGATTCCGAGGTCACTCTATTGATTCCGACTACTATTCCGCATACTACAGGCTGTTTTGAAACTTACTAAACCTTTTCCCATCAAGCCTTTGCCAAAACCCGAAATCCTTTAGCCAAAACCCGCAATGTTTTAGCCAAGATTCGTAGACCTTCAGCTTCGACGCAGTAACTTTAGTCATGCCGAAGTAGGCGAATCAGATCAAAAAGTATCGGAATATTCAGAAGTTCATGAATGTTGAAAAAAAAATTATTTTCTACAACTATTGATGTTGGAAAGCTTGGTTTAGAAATACGCTGTGAGGAGGCATACTGACCGGTGGTGGTCAACTTGATTAGGTCACCAACTTATGACCTGAATGTCCAGGGTTCGAACCACTCCGCCGCCCGCCTTCCCTGTTTCTGCATTTCCCCACAGGCAGCCTTTGTATGGCCGCGGCACGCCCCCCCCCCTTCTTGAATGTTGACTGTATATTCTTATATTCAATAAATAAAAAAGAACAAAAAGGACACATACACATGTTGATCGTCAAACCTTTTTTCACACATCTCGTACCGGTTCAGTGTTTCTGTATAACATGCGATAGTCCTAGGAGTAAAAGTCGCAAGTGTAACTCAAACGAGCACATCGGTTGAAACCTTCTCCAATCAACATGTGTTGCAGCGTGCGACCCCCTCCATGCCCCCCCCCCACCACCACCATCTTCTTCTTATCTCTTAACCAAGCTTTGCAACATCAACATTTGAACATTCGTGGACTTCCGAATTTTCTGATATTTTTTTTTATCTGACTCGCCTACTTCGGTGTGACTAATGTTAGTGCGTAGAGGCTGAAAGACTACGGATCTTCGGGCTAAACCATTGCGGGTTTCGGTTAAAGGACTGCAAGTTAAGACTAAAGGAACGTGGGTTTTGGCTAAAGGATTTCGGGTTTTGGCTATAGGGTCGAGGCTAAATAATAGTGGATTTTGGCTAAAGCTTGATGAGAAAAGGTGTAGTTTCCCTCATACCACCATTTCCACTATTTATGCCTGCGCGGGCTTGAACACGAATGCATGTGTTTGCCGAAACAACACGTTTCAGATGGTATCCGTCCGTCCTATTGCTCTCGGTGCACAAAATTGGGAAACTCTCAGTTCATAATGAATGAATGAATGATTCCTGAACATTAGACCACATGCAAGGGACGTTTCACGCCTGCTCTAAGGCGTTCTCATTCTTCTTCTGTGTGTTGTCCTTTTTGTGATGTATCAGTGAACAGCTGCAACTTCAGTGAACATTGACCGAAACCGGTGACGGTGAATGGCAGATTTTTGCTTTCACAGAGAGAGTGACATCAGTTTTTATGCAGAGCAGTTGTCCCACAGAGGAATTTTGCCACTTGATCTCTTAATCAATTTACCTATGAGATAGTGTGGTGATTCAGGCCTACCCTGGAGCGGACACTCAACTTTGAAAGGTGACGTCAATGACACGTGTACGTCTTCTGATTACACACCATAGGCAGGTTGTGCTAGCCAAACCGAGGCGGTGCAGACAGAAGCAGAGTTATGCAAGCAATACTGCAATATGGAAACCTAGATAACCAATGATCTTCTTTTGTACATATATTTAATAGCTTTCATTTCTTTCAATAAAGAAACTACGAGCTACCATTCTTGTGGCCTTTTCCTTGCGTCTCGTTTACGTGGGATACTGCAAGCTCGTGCCATTGCGGTTCAGTGCTTTCGTAGTCCAGTCCGTGATAGCTGATCTCTGATTCGTGTTCTGTGATTCCTATTACGTGGTTCGTGTTCCGAAGTCCGTGCGTAATGTTAATACTACTATAATCATTACAGATGAGTCGCTTGAGTGTTTTTTAAGTCCATACACACAAATATTTTGTTATTGTTTCACTACCAAAACGGACATATTTTAACAAAACCACGTGGTTACCGCGTCTGCATCACGATGAGACTGCATATTGACGTGGTGTGATGGCATATGCACCTCTCTGACCCAACGAGCTACATAGGATGACTTTTGTCAACCCGAAGCTGGAATCATACCTGGAAGGTCGAACAGTAGAGGTCAGACAAAATCCAATCTCGTGGTCCTCCAGGTTGGGAGTAAGCGTCTCAGTTGGTAAAATTGCTGAAGGAGTGATCGATCCAAGTAAATGGGCCTCCATATCGCTTCACACGCTGCCATGCGGTTAGGCTCTTGTTAGAATTAAGGGCCTTGGTTGAGACCCCTAATTGTTCTCCTGCTTAGTGACTGAACATTCTAGTGAGTACGTCAAACAAAAGTGTGAAAATGACAGTGGTTAGTCACTCAGTCACAGCCACAAATTGTTTTATTCGTCGTAATGGATTGATTAATTTTTAGTTCCGTGCACACATCTTCGCATATTCGCATGCAGTTACAGAGAGGGAGAGAGAAAGTAAAATACAGCATCGTAAATTGCAGAGAAAAGTGGCGTTAAATTTGTGAATTACTTAGGATTTTTTAAAAATTGCCTCTAACGGATACTTTCCGTGACAGAAAACTCGAAAGATATGGGATAACGGTAGGCAGTGGTAGGATTATACACAATTCACAACTTCAAGTGAATCGGTTGTAACTTCAAGTGATTCCAACCAATTGCACTCCATTGAAAATCTCACAAGATTATTCTCTTTTTCTTATCATATTTACTGCCTTTTATTGAACACTATGATACAATTTTCAGGAGGGGGAAGAGGCCAATCCAAGGGGGCTGCCATACAACACACACACAATGGGGAAAGTCAGGCGGTGATGGTGGTGGAATGCGAACACCGAGGTGATAATTTGATGACGTTATCACCGGGCCACCACCGCCCGGTGGTGTTTTGGCTGTCAAATGTCACCCATTGACCGGGTCTGTCTAAACCCCGTCCAGTCCGAATGAAC